TAGGGATTTTTCCATGTAAACCAGTTATAATGCAACTTAATAGAGATTTTTCCATGTAAACCAGTATAATGCAACTTAATAGGGATTTTTCCATGTAAACCAGTATAATGCAACCTAATAGGGATTTTTCCATGTAAACCAGTATAATGCAACCTAATAGGGATTTTTCCATGTAAACCAGTATAATGCAACCTAATAGGTTGCATTATACCACCAGACCAAGACCCAAACGAAGACTCAGACCACCACCAGATAATGACCACAGACCAGGTTTCCTTAGTTACAGGAACCAAATTGTTTCAGCGGTGAGGGGATTTTTCAGTTTCAAGGACACTTTCAATACATTCAGTAGTTTCAAGGATTTCAACTGTTTAAGAATTTAACCAGTTTCAAGGATATCAGGAGGTTCAAGGATTTCAGGAGTTTCCACACTTTCAACAGTTTCCAGGTTTAAAAAAAGTTTCAAGGATTTCAGGAGTTTCAATGTTTCAACAGTTTCAAGGATTTCAGGAGTTTAAAGGTTTCAACAATTTCAAGGACTTCAGGAGTTTCAAATATCTATCAAGTATTTTAACAGTTTCAAGGCCTTTTAAAGGATTTCAAGGATTTTTTTTAGCAGATTTCCACATTAGATCTGTTCCGCAGTCAATCGCAATGGCTTCAGCCATTGCAAGTTTCTAGTATTGACGTCACATCCATTCGTGTCCTAGCGCCAGGGCCACTCCCGCAGTAATAAAGAGGAACTGAGGATGAAGTAGGGGAGGGAGTGCTTTGTATTGGACAAGGAACAGAGGTATAAGGTACTTGAATACATGAACTGGCTGTGGCATGTACTGGGGATGTATCACATGCATGGACATTAGTATAAATGTAATTATCAGCCAATTGCATACCACTCAAGCGAACCAGTTTCATTAACAAGTTTCTAGTCAGACTAATGGGGGGGGGTTCTATACCGAAGATCACATGCTTTGGTCTCTACAGGTCAACTGTTGAGAGACAGCCATGTGTTATGATTATGTGCGCTAAGTTATTATGACTTCGCTTATCAAAGTGGGTGGGAGTATATAAAAACTGAATTACCTTGATACGTTAACTTTTATTCTGAAAAAACGTCAAGGGTGACTCAGCTGAGATCCTCTGAAATTTGTTTTTTTACGCAAAATCATTAAAAAAAATATTCTGTGCAAAAAATCTGACCCCCCTGAATTGAGCTTTGTTCAATCATGGCACTCAAGGTCAGTTTTCTACTCAGAGCATCAACATAGTCTGATCAGCTTGGAAAACCCGGGACTATTTTCAAATAATATTTTTTGTTACCCATGTAATAGACTCACTAATCACACTGATAATATTCCTTAAGTGTTTATTAATTCATCACAGTGATCAGTGTGCCAACTTAAGCACGTTGTCGCTACATTTTAGCGATTTTTCAGACCCCATCAGCACTTTTTTTCAAAAAAGCGACTACGTCAAATCAGCGACGTGTGCTGGTGTTATTGGAGTCTTATCTGGTGTTTTGGGACTCGGCGTAAGCACGTATTGTATCTCAGTTATACGTCCTCATCGTGAACCCCTCCCCCCGTCCCAAACACTTACAGGCGGCCAGTCTCACACGTAGCCTTGCGCAGCAGTCCCAGCTGTAGTATTAATTTATAAACAAAAACTAAACTAACCACCCCTCAAAAAAAAAAAAAAAATAAAAAAACTATAAAAAAAAATAATAAATGTAACCAAAAAAAAGTAACTCTGCAGAGTGTGTCCTTTTGGTCAACTTTGCCGTCCCAACCCGGATAAAGGAGGAGGGTTGGTTGTAGAGCTAGCATTTCTCCCTACATAACATCTTTTATTACAATTTGCTGTTAACATTTAACAATACAGACCAAAACTGATGTTGTAATTGGGTTCTAGACAAAGCATTAATAATCAGTATATGTTGTTAATGTTGAATTATTGTTGTACATTGTAGTTCTAAACAGATTTTAGGTGTTTTTTACTCAATTTGTCTCTCCCACGACGTTATTCCGCTCTCCACAGCTCCGTTACAGTGATTTGCAAATTGCCAATTATGCAAAATTAGGCGATGAACTCATTTAGCGACTTTTGGGACAGCCATAGCGTACTTTTCCTACTGAGAGGTGCTCACTGTCAGTGATCATTTTTCCTATTTTTCTCAGTATCGAGCACAGTTCAATAGAAAATGTTGGAGAAAAACAATACTATCGGGCATATATAATCGAAGAACCATGCTAGCTTTTAAAAAATGCGCCTGATTCACAGGAGGCCAGAAACTGCCAGCAAAATGTAAATAGTGCATATGATGAATTCCGCTCAAAATATTTAAAATGTAATTCAACAAAATGTCCCACATATTCGTCTGGTAAGAACAACCACATAGAACCCCCCCTGGATAACGAAGGTCCCTCCAAAAGGCTGGCAAAAATATAAACATCTACACAGGAACTCAAAGGAAGGAAGATGTAATACAAAACCTATTAAACAAATTAACTACATAACTGCGAAACGTAAGAAAATTACTTATATAACAAGAACAATATTGAAGGAAATGTAAAATATAGAATGGTGCTAAAACAAACCGGGCTATTTTCTAACAGATCCCGAATATTTCATTAACAAAGAAAAGTTTAATACAACATTAGCCAAGATGCAAATTTTGATTATTGTTTACCGCAACATTAAGCAAAAAATTAATCTTCTAAATATAAATGCACATCTCAACTGCGTTCCCCTGGGATGAAAGGGAAATTATTAATAGAGTTTCTAAAATGATAAGTAAAATAATCAACGAGTATAATGAACGGAATTTGTCTGTATAAAACATATTATTGAATTAATCGCACATCCTTTAGCCACATAGTTCATCTGATCATTCAAACTGGAACTGTGCCACATCAGAGGAAATAGCAAAAATAATACCCTCATTTTAAGCGGAAAACAAACATCTGTCACCAAGGCCGGTGTCTCTGCTTCACAGTTTTCAAAGATACTGGAAAAACTTTACAACACCAGATTAGAAAAATGTATAATCAACACCATCTGCATGTATAGGATTATAAATGTATAGATCAACACCATCTGCTTGAGACGGCCAATATGGCTTCAGAACTAACAGGCAACTGGCACTGCTCTGCTGGATTCAATTGAAGATATTTAATCAAACTGAGCAAAAGAGACTAGGAGCAGGATATTCATAGATCTACAGAAAACATTTAAAGCAGGTGTATGGAAAAACGGGGATAGCACTGACTTGGTTTAAGACGACTAAACTCTGTGCCCCCCAACCTACTCCGCCCACAGGAACAGTTGTAAAAGTTCGCTGAAAAGAACATTGCCTGGAGACCAAAGACAAGAAGGGTGCTTAGAGTGGGACGTGGTCTGGCTGTGATTGACAGCTCCTTGTCACACACAAAAAAAAAAAAGACGGTTGTAATTGCTGCTCAAAGCAATAGTTTACACACTGAAAGTCTCATACCACCGTGTTTTACACACTAAAAGAATTGGAAGCATACACCTGAACCTAACAGTGAATTTACACAGTACCGTAAACAGCGCGTACGCTTTGACTGCGCCTCTCTGCGCGTAACATTTTTTGCAGATCTACACAGCCGTGCACGGCAGGTCACTCTCTGATCCGTCCCTGGGCTTCTATTGAGTCATGTAGAGGACAGTACTGAGTCGATTAGAGCAACACAAATCACATGCAATGTCTTTGTCCTCATGTTCTCTGGTGCTGGTTGGCCAACGCCCACACTTTATGGAAAGAAAAAAAACGATGTCCAAATCACTGTAAAACCTGCTGCTCTCCTGCTGATGTTGTAGATACAAGTGCTAGTGTGGGCATATGTGAACTAAGCCATGCCGCTAGAAAAAAATCATGGTTACATTCAGATTTCAATAGGAGACGCGTTGGTGCGCGCACAAAATTAGAATCCATCCTAAATTAGAGCGCAGCTTCGCGCATACGTCCGTCATACGCGCGTATAACCAGAAGTGTTAATATCATCATAGGTTAACATGGAAAAAATACGCGCAGTCTGCTGCGCCGATAACGCGTACGTGCTGAAAGCGTGATGTGGAAATTAGCAGTAACCACACAATTTTCTCAAATTACTCTATTTCATATAACCACTAGATATCCGCCAGAATACTCCTACCTGCAGCTGGCAGTGTGAAGTTGGATAAGTTTTATATCACTGGCGCAGACAACTGACTCACACATACCACCTGACGTCACACACACCCACCTGACTTCCACCACACCACTGACGTCTCTCACACCAACTGACGTTCACACACACCAACGACGTCACCACACACCCACTGACGTCACACATACCAACTGACCATCACAACACACCAACTACGTCACACACACACCACTGACGTCACACACACCACTGACGTCACAAACACCAACTGACGCACAAACACAACTGACCACACACACCACACTGTCGTCACACACACCAACTTACGTCACACCACCAACTGACGTCAAGATCACCAACTGACGTCACATCACACCATCGGCGTCACACACACCTACGACGTCACACACACCAATTGACGCACACACTAACAACTGACATCACACACACCCTACGACGTCACACACACACCAACTGACTCTCACACTCCAACTGAACTCACAAACACCAACTGACAGTCAACAAACACCAACTGTACGTCACACTCACGCCAACGGACGTCCACACTCACCAACTGACGTCACACAACTACGGCACACACTCCAACTGACGTCAAACCACCAACTGACGTCCACACACACAATCTATTTCGTCACACACACCAACATGACTCACGACACCAACTGACGTCACAAACACACCTACTTACGTCACACACACCAATTGACGGCACACACACCAACTGACATCACACACACAACTGACGTCACACAACACACCAACTGAAAGTCACACACACCAACTGACGTCCACAAACTCCAACTGACGACTCTAAACACCAACTACTCCACAAACACCAACGTCGTCACACACACCATCTGTAACGTCAACACACACCACGTACGTCACACACACCAACTGACGACACAGACACCAACTGACGCACACACACCAACTGACGTCACACACACCAACAGACGTCACTCACACCAATTGACGCACACACACCAACTGACATCACACACACCAACTGACTCACCCACACACCTACAACGTCACACACACGCAAACTGACGCACAAACACCAACTGACGTCACAAACACCATCTGACGTCACACACACCAACTGTCGTCCACACACACAACTGACGGTCACACACACAACTGACGTCACACCCCAACACCAACTGACGTCACACACACCCACGACGTCACACTCACCAACTGATTCCACACACACAACGACGTCACACACACCCAACGACGTCACACACACCAACTGACGTCACACAACACCACTGACGTCACACACACCAACTGACGTCACACACACCAACTGACTCACACACACTCCACGGACGTCACGCACACCAACTTACGTCCACACACCCCACGACGTCACACACACCAACTGACTCACCACACCAACTGACGTCTACACACACACCAACTGACGTCACAACACACAAACTTGACGTCTCTCACACCCCAACTGACGTCACACACACACCAACTGACGTCACACACACCAACTGACGTCACACCGAATTTCAGAGTCCAATGAAAGGCGAGAAACCAAATTCCAAATGTATACCTATAAGGTAAGAGAGGCGCCACACAGACGTTTTTATCAAAAGTGAGATTTTTATCTAATGTGTACGTAATGGTCCAAAAAATACCAGGATAGATAGAGCACTACATTTAGACAAATTTATGCATTTATGAGTTAAAAAAATTGATTTGGGTTTAGTCGCTCTTTAAAAAGGATCGTAGAAAAACGGAAACAGTTTGTTCAACTCGGAGAAATTACAAACTCTGTGTATTTGGACGTCGCTGTGGCCATCCCCCAGTCTGTCTTGCCCTACATTATTTTATTTTTGTATTTAATAATCTGTGTAAAGTTTCTGATTTGTTGGATACAGGAGCTGTTTCATTTGCAGAGGACACGAAATTTGTTCTGTTCTGGAGACAATTTGCCCAATAATTAATGGCAGACTTGAAAAATTTAATTCATGAAGTATTGACCCTGGTTCCATAATAATAATTATCCTAATCTGACCACACTAATTATGTTGTTTGGGAATTCAAAGAAGATGTACATATACAGTTATAAATACAGGGGATAAACAGTACAAGTCATGGAGATTACATTTCTCTCGTGTTATTAGACGAACGTATCAATTGAAAAGCGCGCATTCAATATTTACAGTGAAAGTACCTCAGTGTATAGCTGTGTTTAGGTTAAGCCAGAGTTGGATTTTAATTTCTCCTACACACATCTCTCCTGTTCTCTGGTTTCACCTTACTTCCAACCTCTGCCGAAATCTGGGGTAATAAAAATATTTATAAAACTACTTTACAACCACGAGTGATTCTGCAAAAAAAAGCCATTAGAACAATCAATAACGCAGGTTAGCTTGACCAAACCCCTTCCGTTAGGATTGAAATCCAAAAACTCCAAACGTCAGACACAGAATTTTTAAGTCTGCGCAATTAATGTACAGAGTTAAAAAATAAGCAATGTCTGAAAATTTTACGTTTCCTTCAGCGCAACAAGGAAAAACCAATTTAAGGGCTTATATCACCTAAAATCGCCCACGCCAGGACGACCGGGAAAAGCTCTGTATCTCTGTTTTCTGGGCCTAAGATATGGAAGAATATCCCGGAGGACCTCAAAACGTCGCCGATTTAAAACATTCAAGTATCAATTAAAAGAAACAATGTTCTCAAAGCTCTCCGCTCACCGAAACGCAGCGCCTCGCGGCGCGTCATTTGACCCGTTCATGACATTGTGTCAAATTACACCGGAACGCCTTGGCTAGCGTCCTTTTCCAGCTGGATCGCAAGATGAAATGGGTGAGTGACGTTTGGAAGTTTCGACAATCTTGTTTGGGGGAGGAAACACAGTATTTACGTGAAATTAGCTGGCAAAATTACAAGAAAAGACTATTTGGGACCCATTTTTTAAACAGGCTATAACAGCTTTGTCCAAAGCGATAGTTTGAGTGATGTTTTTGAGGTCGTTTATTGTTGGACTTGTGAAAAGTACCTCTCATATATAGCTAAGTTTTACATGTAATTATTTGATAAATCTTAGTGACAAAACTTCATGTTCGAATGGAAACATTAATATAAATGGAATTGATATGTGGTTATTGTTTCTTGGTATCTTATAAGAATCTTGAGCAAAAAAGTATCAAATAAGTATAATAAATGGGGGTTTTGTGCTATTCTATCAATACTAAAAGGTTAGTGTTTGACTGCTTGAGATAGTGAATTGTTTTCTTTTTCCTTTTGTACTGTAACATTTTTGTGAAGCACTTTGGTCAACAACAGTTGGTTTAAAATGTGCGATATAATACATTTGATTTGAATACTAAAAAATTTTAACAACAACAAACACTATTTTAATTATGTTTTCCTAAAATAATTTGTCACATCCTCGAAAATAATTGGCATAGCACATACATTGAATTGTTTTGACTATATTCTCTTCTAGAGAATATTCTTCAAGACAAAAAGAAGATTGCCGCCCTCCTTCTTTTGCGTTTGTCGCTTCGTCAATAAGAGAAGAATCTGGTGCACCCAATAAACAACACGTGAGGAGAAAGGAGTATTCCACCACCTATCCAGGAGCTCCAGAGGACTAGCGAGAATCAGCCCACATTTATTTTCGGATGAGCGCTGCACAAGTAAAGAATATTCTTTCAAATGTAGGACCGGACATCACAACCAGGTCACCAATTAACCGATCACCTTCACCAAAACCAAAAGCGCTGTCCCACTATCAGGATAAAAAAAGACATGACATAAAAACAAAAGCACCTAATTCACATTTATTATTATAAAACAGATGCTTAAATTCATAGTAAAGTTAATGCAAGTTTGGCTTTAATCAAACGGATAAAAAACATTATGATAAACTCAGATTAAGAATTTACAAAGAACAAGATTGATCAACAAAATAACAAATAGACCTAAAAGAATAAATTGGGCTCGATGTTGATGGATCATGAACCAGCCTGGGTATGAGTAAATTGTCGCTCAGAGTTTCCAATCCTCCAGCACCTCACAAAGCTCATCTTTGCTTGACTTCTGTTTCGTTCTTGATCTTTCCATTGAGGAACTAAGCTCATAGAAAAAGCTCACTTTAGACTTTGTTGTGGCGTTGCTTGAGATATCCATAATGTTTCATTGACTATCGGTTTGGGCTCTGCTCCGGCTTCTTCTGCTGCTTCTTGGTCGCTCTCTGCCTTTGATGACCTCTCCACAGCACCGAGCCGGAGTCCCTCGCTCACCGAGTGCCCTCAGTTGGCTCTCATGGTCGCTTCTAAATTTTCCCAACAGAGCTAAAACAAGATGACGAAAGTTGAATGAAAAACCATACTTACAAATGACCAAGTACTGTAAAGCAGCTCACTTGTTTATGAAATAACAAACTTCACATAAGCTCTGTCGAAAATTAAAACACAGTCCTCCTTTTATATTATAGCCGGTAAACAAGGACTTTCTGGTGCAATGGGACAACATGAAACTAACTATAATCTTAAATAACCTTGATAATACAAAGTAACAAGAATAATATACGATTTAAAAAAAAAAGTGTAGGTACAAACGATACATGTAGCAACAAAACTGAGGCAGTCTGGAGTCAGATTGTAATTTTTTTTTTTAAGGAAGTCAAGAAATAATCATATTTGACATTATAGCATATTACATTAATGAAATTTAAAAAACAGAAAAAACACCAGACTTATCCAGGGATTTATATCAATAGAGCTAACCTTCATTTGGGATGAAGCACGTGAAAATCTTCAGGGCCACAACCTCCACCCCGTTGAGGCACCTTGCCCCAGAGCCACTGGCTGTTCGGCGCCTCTTCTGCTTCACGAATCTTCCCGAAGTGACTTCCATGTAATTTACAATCTATGCACATGAAAAAAAAATAGTTATATTAATAAATGTTTTCTTCGTTACAGATACATGGCACAGAGAAAGTATTGCTAGCCTAGCGTCAGTTATCATTAGGTGTAACAACATTTTCTCAAGCAATCCTGACACCCTGCGCCGCTCAGCATCACACGAATGAGACCCATCCATATGTCGCCCATGTGTTGTTGTTTTTTGGGATGGGGGGACCGCCCGCCCCAAAATAGAGGAGGACGGAGAGCATACTAAATTCATGGCATAGTGGAACTTCCCCTAATAGTTGTCTCGGTGCCATGGACGGAAAAGCATATCTCCATACAGCTCCGCCACGCTCCGAAGCCGTAATTTTAAGGATATAAAGCACTTGTGTCCATCGGTCTCATGGCTGCAGTGCAGTTTTAGTCCGGTCAAACGCCAACACCCTTTCAGGGGACCACTCTACGACTTGGTTACCCCTCCTACCCCTCAAAGCGTCATACAAAGGGTGCATAAGGTGGGCGGCATGGGGAATGAAGCGGTTATAAAAGTTTAATCATGCCCAAAAACTCCTGCAAAGGCTTCACAGAGGGGGGGCGGGGAAAAGCTAAAACTGCTTTGACCTTAGCAGGGAGTGGTACAGCACCCTGCCTCGAAACGCGGTGTCCCAGGAACTCAATTTCTGACAGTCCAAATTGGCACTTAACTGGATTCACGATCAACCCGTGCTCAGTGAGCCGCTCGAAAAGGAGGCGGAGGTGTAAGCTGTGCTCCTCAACGGAAGGACTCGCCACCAGTATATCATCCAGATACACAAATATGAAGGGCATGTCACGCAAAACCGAGTCCATCAACCGCTGAAAAGTCTGTGCTGCCCCCTTCAGGCCAAATGGCATTCTCAAAAACTCGAAAAGGCCAAAAGGCGTAATAACCGCTGTCTTAAGGACATCTCGCGTGTGGACTGGCACCTGGTGGTAACCTCTAACCAAATCCACCTTCGAAAACACGACAGCCCCTGCCAGGTGCCCAGAAAAATCCTGAATGTGGGGGACCGGGTACCTGTCGTTAGTCGTGGCGTTGTTAAGGCGACGGAAATCTCCACACGGGCGCCAACCACCGTCTGATTTGGGAACCCTGTGCAAAGGCGAAGCCCACGGGCTGTCTGAACGGCGCACGATTCCAAGCCTCTCCATGTTGGCAAACTCCTTTTTAGCAATCAACAATCTTGCCGTATCCAAACGGCGCGCCCGAGCGAAAACTGGCGGGCCCACGGTAGTGATGTAATGCTCCACCCCGTGCTTAGCTACCGCCGCAGAAAATGTGGGAACCGTAAGGGCAGGAAACTCCGCTAACAGACGCTGGTACACGTCCCCAACGGCCAGCATGTTAGCCAGAATGCGCCCAGCTTTCCTCAGCGTACATGGATAGGAACTAAAAGACACGGCATCAATCAAACACCTGTTAGACACATCCACTAATAGCCTGAATGCACATAAAAAATCTGCACCCAGGATAGGAACTGACACCGAAGCAATCACAAAGTCCCAGCTAAATTCACGGCCATTAAAACACACTGTGAAAAACCTGGTGCCAAAGGTGCGGATGGAAGTCCCGTTAGCTGCATCCAGCGGAGGGCCCCGTCCTTTCCCAGTAGCGTCGGCCGTGGAGGGGGGTACGATGCTGCGTTGCGCTCCCGAATCCACAAGAAAACGACGTCCTGAAGCCCCATCCTCAATGAAAAGCAGCCTGTCCTGGTCACCGGTGCAAGCAGCCGCTAGCGAGCGCCGGCCCTCTCGTTTCCCGACTGCTGGAAAGAGCACGGTGGGATGCAACGGCGAGCCTTGGTTCCAAAGCGGCGGTGGTAGAAACAGAGGCTTCCCTTCTTGTCTTGTCGATCCGTCACAGCTGTCACGTGCACGCAGGCATCCTCCTCACACGCATCCGGAGGCACCAGCGCATGCACCAAAAACTGCCTGGATGCCAGCAGAAGTTTGTCAGCCTCCTCCGCCAGCCGTCTGTAATCCTTAGTGCGGACCAGGTCCGAAGTGGCCAGGGCAGTACGCACAGGGGGCGGGAGCTGGCATAGGAACAGATGAGTGAAAATAAATGAACTGTCCCCAGAGCCGAGTAACGCCAACATATTTTCCATCAGCTCAGATGGCTTGCAGTCTCCCAATCCGGAGAGCGATAACAGACGGTCAGCCTGCTCCATATCAGAGAGCTGGTATAACTGGAGCAATCCCCTCTTTAGCGCCTCGTACTTCCCCTCGTGAGGCGGGTCGCGGAGAAGCCCCATCATCCTCCGAGTAGTGGCCGAATCCAAGGCCGCAACAATATGATAATATCTCGTGATGTCCGTCGTTATGCCGCGTAGCTGAAACTGCGCTTCCACATGTTGAAACCACGGCTCTGGATCGTGCGTCCAAAACTCTGGCAGTTTCACCATAGCCGCGAATACAGCCGGCGGGGTGACGGCAGCGCCAGCATTATCTTGTGACATGCTTATAATGTCCAACTTCAGGGTCACCAATGTGGAAGAAATCAGCCGGAGACAAAGAGCTGAGTCTCACTTATTTATTCCAAACACTAATCACACACAGGTGGCCACACTCCCCTCTTATCTCTTCCCCCCGGAACCCGCTCCTTCACAATAACACATTTGTGTGTGCGTTCACCAGCCACCAAAACCTAATGTAACTTAAGTTCTACGAATAGGTGCTTAGTCCCTTAGCTACGAGCCCATCAGGCCAGCCCGGCTTGGCAGAGTTCAAGAGGGGGTGCGGCCTTGTGCAGGGGCATTTATAGAGGACGGTGGCTGGTGATTGGAGCAAATTATTTTGATCTCTCTGGCGTGTGACCTGGGGGTCACGAGTGATATCCCACTAGCGAAATCCTAAGGGACTACGCACCTATTCGTAGAACTTAAGTTACATTAGGTAACTATTAAGTCATGGTTATTACAAATGTGCTATACAAATAAACTTGCCTTGCCTCATAAAACATAACATATGGCAGGTTCTAATCATGCAGTAACCAATATACTTTATGCAAACATGACTCAATGAATATCATTTTAACACATCCTTTGTCTTGAGTCCCTCCAGATTGAAATGGAACTAAAATGGAAATTCAGACTGGAAGATATCTCACTATTTAGAGTTATGACTGTAGCTACGGTTATATGAAGGTCAGTAAGGATAAAAATACAATCCTCCGTCTACACACCTTACATCAATTAAATTAAATGTATTTTAGTGTAGTTACAGCAGTAGATCCAGGACTCAGGCTGTAAAACGAGGACCTAGCATCCTCACATCAGCGTCACATTCATGGCTGCATTTAACCTTTTTCTTGCCTCCAAATTCATATTACCTTAGACTTTTTCTAAGCATGTGACCACAGACTATACAGCTATTAAAAGCGTTCCTTCGATATTTCAGAGTTATATTATCCCCTGACCTTTCGAAAACACCCCCAGCTAATTTATATGCATTTATGTCAATTCTGCGGCCGTCCTGTGTGTCCCCAACTGCCCATTGCAGAGAGCACAACATGGGGTCAGCACATTAAGGCCACTCTAGCTGCTCCACACAGACTGAAGGACGCATGAGGGAGCCGTCAACACACTATCATTAAAAAACAAGAGAAAAGCAGCAACATGGACTTTTTGGAGTTGATAACCTTGTTCAGCAAAGTTGTTCCCTCTAAGTTGTTTGTAGCATTGTTGATACCACCTCCACATCCAGGCCTTTCTGTGTAGAGTTTGCATGTTCTCCCCGTGCCTGTGCAGGTTTTCCTCTGGTTTTTTGGTGCATGTTCTGGTTTTCCCTACTTCTAAAAACATGTGCAATAGATATGAATGTAATGAGTGAATGAATGGATGGTGTTGTGGCTGGAGGCTTTGATATGCCAGTGTGTTAGTCATCTCAGCAATTGTAAATCACTTTGGGTGACCTTGGTTTGTAAAATGTGCAATATAAAGAAAGATGATTTACTTACACACAAAATGTCAGTACAAACACATAGGACGGGTTATTGTTTAGATTTTGCCCATAGAATGATACATGATACATACAACTGTGGTCCTCCATGGTTCCTTCTTCCAACTTGTGAAGGCACGGTGAAAGCAACGATATCAGTAGCATCCTTTTGGTCCCTTATCCACCACCGTTTTTCAAGATGGCGCATTTATACGGAGAGCACTCCCCTATCATGGACAGTTATAAGTTAAATTCTAAGCCTATGAATATAATTCAAAAAGGAGGTAAATATTCTTAAGAAGGTCACATTTGTTTTTAGTTAACATGTTTTTTCATATGGAGCAGCTGTAAAAATTACACAGGGTGGCTTTAAGTATATGTTTCCAATCTTGCACACATTAACCGAACGTTATTCTCAGGTAAATGTTGAAGCTGTTTCATCTCAAAGCATGTGAAAACCGGCTCTCAGTGATGCGTTGTTGTATTTCTGAATCGCACACAGACAGCAAAAAAGGTGCAATTTGTCTTCCAATTTGTTCACATGCAGCAACAACTCCAATTGCATTAAATCAAAATTCAGTGTTTTTATCTGGCCAAACCGCTCTTCAGCTGTTGCTTCCTAGTCCTGTTTTTCTCTTGTCAAATCAGCCCTTGGCCTCTCTTGGCCTACTGTGTTGTATGTGTTTGGATTGTTTTATTTTTCAATTACATTTTGAGGGAATCTTATCTAACCTTTGTTCAATTTTGTGATCTATTATATATATCTCCGTGATATATAGATACACAAGACTGTATTGAGTAAAGTATACAAGAATCACTATATATATATCACGTATAGTCATTTTTATCTCGTAGTGTGAAAAAAAGTATTTTTGAATATCTAATGAAAAATTGAAATGAACTGAACTTTAAACTAGTTCAGAATTAAAAATGTGAACATTGAACGTGAACTTTTCACTTTGAGCATGTATGAACTGAACTTGTACTAGTTCAGAAAAGCCTGTGAACTGACTCAACACTGTCGACGAAGGAGGACCACATCTCAAATGTTTGCCACTGAAATACTTTTCAAGACTCTTTAACAAAACCTGAGACACAGGTTTCAACATTTTACTTCTACATTCCAGGACTAACCATGCATTCTTAAATCCGAGCGGCAATAACACATGCAGACAGTAAGGCAAAACGGTGATTGTTCTAAAACTTCCTGTAGACTTTCAAACTTCACTAGCCAGTTAACTTTTATCGTGAGTCACAAATTTCACACAGGCCTTTTGTGCGTCCGCGTTCATCGTCGGAACACTGATGCGCCACGACACTTTGAATTCCCATAATGAGCAGTGCGGATGGCGCTGGCGAACACGGCGAAGGCTTGAAGAGGGCTGTCAGAGCGGATCTATTGTCTGCTTGTATGTATGCTGAATCACCACTGCGGCTTCAGAATTATTCAACAGAAACAGCTGCGGTGAAGAAGCTAAGGGGAAGCGCAATGCGGTTTTGGGGAATCTTTAAAAATGTATTTGTTTCAAATTTTTCAAATCCACATAAAGCACAAATTGGTCCAAAATATAAAGTATGGAAATCCGTAAAAGTGAAAACGTGAATGATGGGTGCATTTGAAAGCCAGATACCATCAAACCTCTGAAGCTAAGCAAGGCAGGGCCTTGTTCATGCTGTGATGGGAGATCTCTGGGAACATCAGGTGTAACAGTGGGGTGGCTGCAGCCAAACTGTCCTGCCTTTAGATAAGACGTTTCACCCACTTTAGAATGAGTCTGGTGTGTGCGTGGATGGTCGGTGGTGGTCGGAGGGACCAATGGCACATACTGGTTGCCTCACTTCTGTCAGTGTGCCTCAGGGCACCTGTGGCT